GGTTTTTGTTTTGTGGGTGGGGGTGGGGGTGAGTGTGTGTGTGTGTGGTACTGGGAATTGAACTCAGGACGTTGTGTTTGCCAGGCAAGCGCTAATTCTACTGAGCTATCTCCCCAGCCCTGTTTTTGTTTTTGTTTTTTAATTTATGTATCTTGTACAGCATCTCACCACACATTTCAGACTTGTAGTAAATCTCTTGTTTTGGCCTCCCTAGCTCTGGGATTACAGGTATTCAGGCGTGTGCTGCAGGCATGCACTAGCATGCCCAGGGGCGGGTCCAGTGCAACATGCGTACCTGGTCGTACCTGGGATCACACCCTGGGCCCTGCCTTTGCCTAAGAAAGTGCTTAGTCCACTGAGTTATCTTGCCAGCAGCCCTTAGATTTGTAATCTTCCTGTCTCTGCTTCCCTGAATGCTAAGATGACAGGTGTGTACTACTGTGACTGCCATACCCAATTTTATTTATTTTTTTAACAGCAGTTATTCCTCTAAATAAGGGTCCCCATCACTGTGTAGTTGGGGGCCAGGATGTTCTCAGGGGTAGGCATCCCAGGCACTGTAGGAGGCCAAACAGCATCCCTGGGCTCCACCTGCCCCATGCCAGGAGCATCTCTGTTAGGACAGTCACCAATGGGCCCAGGCATAGCTCATTGTCCCCTGGGGTCAGGGTCACCCCACATAGAGCTATTGCTTGGACTCCGGCTGGTTGGTAGCCTGGTTGATAGGGAGGGGTGGGCAGTGAAAGGTCAAGGGGACTAGGGGATGACCTTTTGCTCACAAATCATGTGACTTTTGATGAGTTGCCCTTAAGGCCTCTTTATGTCCCCTCCTGTCCCTACCTGTTCTTGTTTGTTTTGAGACAGACTCCCTGTGTAGTCCAAGCTGGCCTTGATCTCACTTTGTAGCTCAGTGTAGCACATTCACTGAGTAGCTGGCTATGAACTCTTAAGTCTCCTCCTGCTTTGGCCTCCTTGGTGCTGGCTTACAGGCATGTACCACCATGTCCTGCTCCTACCTCTTCCTGGACAGGGACCTGAGGATCCTGTGCCAACAGTAGATACATGACTCTGCTCTCCAGGCTGGGAAACCATGTGGTCCCTTCCTCCTCTTTTTTTTTTTTTAAACTTTATTGAGAAACAAATATAGAGCAGTTTCAGAGCTCCTTCCTCATCTTTGATCCCAGAGCTGGCCGCTTGGACCAACAAAGCCGAGAGAAATGCTGCTGGGCATCCACCATGTGGAGGCCTGCGTACGGAGGGCCAGCCCTGCCTGCATCTCAAGGTGAAGGGGGTTAAAGCCACTGGCTGCATCTCTGCCCGGGCTTGGTAACAATGCAACCTTGGTAACCGTGCTGAGCACAACCAAATGTGATGGTGCATGCCTGTCATCCCAGCACTCAGAAGGCTGAAGCAAGAGGGTTGTGAGCTAAAGGCTGCCTTAGCCACAGAGTGGGATCCCTGTCCCCTCACAGAATTTAAAAAAAAACTGATTGGATTTATTTAATTTAGTAAGGGCCCTGAGCATCTGATTTATTTATTTTTTTCTCTGGACACAGGGTCCCACTATGTAGTTCAGGTTGGCTGTGGACTCACTGTGTAACCCAGGGTGGCCTCAGACTCACAGCAGTCCTCCTGCCTCACCCTCCCAAGTGCTGGGATTACAGATGTGCACCACCATACCTGACCAAGAATTTGTATTTTTAAAAAAGAGCACAGCAGAGAGTGCAAGTACACAGCCAGGGTCGAAATGGCTGGCTCTCCTCCTGCCTGAGGTTTGTGGGAAGGAAGCATCTTCCTTCTCCAGCTCACATCCCCACGTCCCTGGGGAGAAGTGTGAATTTCACATGAAACTGTTGAGGTGCCCGAGAAATTTCTTGAGGTTGCGCCTCTGATTGTTAGAAGTGTCAGTATATAGCCACTTTTACTTTGTGCCATAGGATATTTCTAGTGTACAGTGGCCCCTGAGGAAGCTGGAATCTGTGGATACTCAAGTCCTTTCAATAAAGTAGGTAGAGTTGAGGGGCATGGTGGTACAAGGCTATAATCCCAGCACTCTTGAGAGGCTCAGGCAGGAGGATTACAAGTCCAAGTCTGGTTTGGCTTATTTAGTCTCAAGAAAAGAAAAATAAGAAGGGCTGGGGATGTAGTTCAGTGGCATAGGGACCTTGGGCTCTGTCCCCAGTGCCATCCATCAGCCTGTCAGTGAATCAAGCAGTCGGGGAAGTTTTGCACTGAGCCCACACACATCCTCCCCAGATGGCTCCTGAGACCTAGTGCAGCGTCAGCGATGCGGCACAGTCCTTCTACTGCATTGTTTAGGCGATAGTGACACACAAGACTTCTATGTGTTTGATATGGGTGAAACTCTCTCTCTCTCCTCTTCTCTCTCTCTCTCTCTCTCTCCTCTCTCTCTCTCTCTCTCTCTCTCTCTCTCTCTCTCTCTCTATCTCTCTCTCTCTCTCTCTCTCTGACAGTACAGAGGATAGAATGCTATTTTATTGTTCTTATTAACGTATTTGGCTGTTGCAGGGTCTCAGTATGCAGCTCCGACTCAGTGATCCTCCTGTTTTCAGCCTCCCCAGTACTGGGATTCCAGGGGTGTGCCTGCACACCCTGACTCTGTGACTGGCTCAGCCTGCCCTGGGGGTGGGACTGGTGCCGGCTTGGGGATGCCTGGGATCGAATCATGGTTCCTGAGCTCGCCTAAGCAAGTGCGTTAGTCCATTGAGCTATCTTGACAGCCCCCTTTTTATGTTTTTGAAGCAGAGTTTCACTATGTAATCTAGCTGGTCTTCAATTCAGTACATAGCCCAGGCTGGCCTCAAAGCCGTGATCCTACTCAGTCTCCCAGGATTACAGGTATGCACTCCCACATCTAGCCAGTTTGTTTTCTTATAAAAGGATTGTGAATTTTCTCCTTTTCTGCTAGCAGTGCAGTATGGAAAGGAAAAAGTTACTCCCTTACCTCATTCCATATTATAAGTTAATATGGACCCTGAGACAAATATTTAAGAACTTTCAAGTTTTTGTTTTTTTTTCCCCTCAGGGATGTGACTGGAACTCAGGGCCTTGTACGTGCTAGATAAGCACTCTATTGCTGAACTGTGTCCCTAGACCATCATCCTGCCCCAGCCGCCCAGAGTGCTGGGACTGCTAGTGTGCACCACCACACCTGGCCCGGCCCAGCTCTTCTGTGTAATTTTCGGTTACATTCTGATGTTTTCTGCTTGGTTTTGTTTGTGGTTTTCTGTTTTGTTTGTTTTGTTTTTTGGCTGGCTCAGCCCGCCAGATTCCCTGCGCTTGCCTAAGCAGACGCTTTAGACCACTGAGCTGAGCTGTCTCGCCCACCTTGTTTTGTTTGTTTGTGAGACAGAGTCTCACTATGTAGCCCAGTTTGGTGTCAGACACAGCGATCCTCCACCCTCAGCTTCCTAAACACTGGGATGAGAGGTGTGGCCCACCATGTCTAGCCTTGGGTTGCATTCTGGATATTGAGTGACATTACCAGAAGTGACTTTGTGAGGCCCACCTTAAAAGCCCAAGGGGAAGCTGCCATGCTCAGGAGAGGGAGGACTAGAGCAGACCTGGGGGTTCAGGCCTGTTGCCAAGGGGAAGCGCAGAAGCACCTGAAGTCAGCAGTGTACACGTGTGCTCCACCAGTCCTCTAGGAAATGAAGATTTAGAAGACCAGTGGTCATCAAAATTGTAGGAAAAGGGCTGGCCAGATAGTTCAGCGGACCAAAGCACCTGCTTAGGCAGAGCACAGGGACTGGGGTTTGATTCCTGGCACCACAGGCCATGCCGGCCCTGCCCCTGGAGCACCTGAGATGGTGAATGAGACTGGGCATGGTGGCACACTCCTGTAATCCCAGTGCTTGGGAGGCTGAACACAGGAGGATCACTACGAGTCTGATCTATGTAGCGAGACCCCGTACTAAATACATAAAAAAGAAAAAGCCAAGAGGAAAGCCAGGTCTCTGAGTGTTTTCCTAGGAGTTGTGCGCCTGGGAGCTGACTTGCCTGTCAGATGCCGGCTCTTGGAGGCTTCAACAGTCTACTACCCACAGGGGCTGTGGTGGCCTGGTTCCTACCCGCCCAGGATGTCCACTCAGTTCTCCAGCTCCTATGACCATGCCCTTGTTCCTTTTAAATCCATAGCAGTAGAGACCCTTTGAGATGCCAGCAGGGTCCCCCCTTCCTCCACTGGGTTCAGGGTAGGCACCAAGTATCCCAGAGCAGGACGTCATCACTTGAGGTACACTGGCAGGATATGTGATGCTTGTTCCATTGTCCTGAGTTGTCATAAAATATTTAGCCTGCATTGTCCTGTGGGACAGTGGCCTTTCCCATGTCCCTATGTGGTTAGCAGGCTATGTAAAGGGGTGGCTGTCACAGTGCTGACTGTCCTGGGGAGGAAACTGTCAGTGTAGTGCATCCAGAGCTCAGGCCCTGCCTTCAGGGACTGCACAGGGCCTCACAGTGTGGCTCTGGTTCTGTTGTGCGAGAACAGCAGCAAGAGGGTGAGCAGTGCCCTTGTGTCAGCCCAGAGCCACCCGGATTCCACAGTGACCACAGCTGCCTTGTGGGCCGCTGGCTGTGCTGTGCGAGGAGCTGCTCCCCAGGACCTTGGGCGGCATGCTGTCGGGTCAGAGCTGAGTGAGCCCGGAGGCTCAGCGCCCAGTGGTGAGAACCTGCACAGAGTGGGTTGCAGCCATCTGCTCCCCACGGCCCAGAGGTGGGGAAACCCAGGATGTCCATGCACCACGCAGAACAAACCAAGCATACCCATGCCTGTGCTGAAATGCCATGTGCCATTGCTCTCTCCTCAGCCTCCAGCACCCAGGAGTCCACTTCCTGTCTCATGATTTGCCTGTCCTGGACATTTCCTACCCATGAAGCCCTGTGGGTCCTCCTGAGTCTGCTGCTCAGGAATGGCTTTCTTCCCTGTTTAGCTAGACGTCTGTAGTTTATGTTGATGCTGTTACATTTTTCTATTTTAGGCAAAATACATCTCTCAGTGCATCGATGAAATCAAACAGGAACTGAAGCAAGACAATATCGCTGTGAAGGCTAATGCTGTCTGCAAGTTGACATATGTAAGTGGCCCTCCTCTCAGCCTTCCTGTTCATCCCCCACCATCCACCCTGCCACCCAGGGGTCTGTCCATCCCTCAGCCCCTCTGCAGCCATTAATTTCTGCTATGTGCAATGCAGGGCTTAGCAGAGCAGCACCCTGATGACCACATGGCTGTAGTGTGGTGTGGTTGTGGGGCTCTGCCAGCCTTGAAGGGGCACCCCTCCCTTAGCACAGGCTTCGGGGCTGTGTACAGCTTGGTTCCGAACCGGACACCTCACCCTTCTGCCTCCTCATCATGGGGAGACGGGCTCCTCCCCCCAGTCCTTGCTGCAAGCATTTGTCACACTGTGATTGTTCTGAGGAGCTGGTTTGCCAGTCACTGGTGGGGAAGTATTAGCCAGGATAAGTAAGTGCTGTCTTTTCAGTAGTAGAAACTTCTCTCTTTCCCTCCCTTTCTGTGTGTGTGTGTGTGTGCGTGCGCACGTGTCCCGTTTCTTTTATCCTTTTGTGGTACTGGGGATGGAACTGAAGGCCTTCACACTGAGCTATGTTCTCAGACTTTTTTTATTTTGAGACAATCTTATTAGGTTGCTAAGTTACCCAAACTGAACTTTAACTTTTCTTTCTTTCTTTTTTTTTTCTTGAAACAAGGTCTCAGGCTGGGGAGATAGTTCAGTAGAATAAGCACTTGCCTGGCAAATGCGAGGGCCTGAGTTCAATCCCAGGTTCCGCCAAAAAAAAGAAACAAACAAACAAGGTCTTATGGTAGGGTTTTTTTTAATGTATTTAGTACAGGGTCTCACTGCACAGATCAGACTTACAGTGATCCTTCCTGTTTTTCAGTCTCCCAAGTGCTGGGATTACAGGCACACAGTCTCAATTGCTGTCTCAGTGCACCCTGGGGGCGGGGCCGGCACAGCAGTCTGGGGATCGGACCCCTGGCCCCTGCCTAAGCAGGCACTTTAATCCACTGAGCTATCTGACTGGCCCTCATGGTAGTTTAGACTGGCCTTAAATTCACTGTGTAGCCCAGGCCGTCCTTAAACTAGGGGATTCTCCTGCCTTAGCCTCCCAAGTGCTGGGATTATATATGTGTGCCTAAGCTTTCTTTTTTTGAAGATAGGGTCTTGCTGTGTAATTCAGCCTGACCTGGCCATGAACCCCCCCAGGTGGCCTCAGACTTCAGTGATCCTCCTGCCTCAGCTTCCCAGAGCGTTGAGATGACACATGTGCGCTACCAGGCCTTGTGCTGTGGTGTTTCAGTGTTTGTTGTTAGCCCATCTGTGAGATTTTAAAATGTCAAAGTCCTTCATCAGGAAAAACACGAGGATAGATGGAGTGCGTATGCTGGGGCTGTGAACGAGTTGTTTCTCCATTTGTTCAGCGTGAACACACGGTTAGGGTTTAAACCCTTCGCCTCTGCTGTGGCTCCTGAGTTAACCTTGCCATGCCTCCTCCTTAACAGTTACAGATGTTGGGGTACGACATCAGCTGGGCCGCCTTCAACATCATCGAAGTGATGAGTGCCTCCAAGTTCACGTTCAAGGTGAGTGGCAGGGACAGTGGGATGGGTGGGTGGTGAGTGGGAGCCTGCTGGGGTGAAACGCTGACGTCCCTAGAGGTGCATCCTGTGGCCGCCCTTCCTGTGTCACTGAGCTCTACACGGCAACTGGGAGGCTACCACGGTGTGGCATCACCCGGCTCCTGCATGCAGGGCTGTGGGCACCAGGAGCTGTCCTGAGACCCACCCCCCTGCTGCTTTCTAGGTGGTGGGCTCAGGTCTGGGAGGAGCTGCTTGCTTTATGTCTTTTTCTTCTCTGTCTCTGTCTCTTGTCTGTCTGTCTGTCTGTCTCTCTCTCTGTCTCCATCTACCCCTTTCCCTCCCCCTCTCTCATTTCCTCTTTTTTTCTTTTTTTTTTTTTTTTGTTTTTTGGCACGAGGTTTTGCTGTGCAGTACAGGCTGGCCTTGAACTCACTTTGTAGCCCTAGCTGGCCTCAAATTCATAGCAATCCTCCTGCCTCAATCGCCTGAGTGCTGGGATTTCAGATGTATATCACTATGCCTGGCCTTTTCTTGGTTTTTTTGATTGTCTTTTTGAGAGAGGGTCTCACTGTCTCAGGCTGGCCTTGAGCTTACTTTGTAGCCCAGGCTGGTTCGAATTTGCAACGGTTCTCCTGCCTTAGCCTCCCAAATTTTGAGATTACAGGCGTGCACTGCCATGACTGGCTGTCTGGCTTGTTTTTTAAAAGTCTGTGAGTTGGGAGTGTTATTCAGTAGTGATGCTTGGCTAGCATGCATGAGACCCTAACTTGTATCACCAACACCTCAGGAAGAAAAGGACAAAAGTCAAGCATGGTAACACATACCTGTTATTCCAGTCATCGGGAAGGCTGAGGCAGAAGGATCTCAAGTTCAAGGCCAGCCTGGGCAACGTAGAGATTTACCTTTTCTCAAAATTAAAAAAAACCTTGGTATATAGCTTAGTGACAAGTCCCTTGGTTCAGCCCCCCAGTAACAAAGGTAAACAAACGTAATCCTATATTTCAATATCCATTCAAGAAAGCTTGAGTTACAAATAAAAGCAAGGCTATCGTGGTATTAAGTTAGAAGACTGTGTTGCCAGGTGTGGTGGTATACCCCTGTAATCCCAGTGCTCTGGGAGGCTGAGGCAAGAAAGTCACCTTGAGTTCAAGGCCATTTTGAACTGCATAGGGAGAGCATGTCTAGATCAACAAAAATACCCTGTTTCAAAATAAAATTTAAGGAGCCTTTTTACCAAGATGGCGCCGAAGGCAAAGAAGGAAGCCCCTGCCCCTCCCAAAGCTGAAGCCAAAGCAAAAGCTTTGAAGGCCAAAAAGGCCGTGCTGAAAGGCATCCACAGCCACAAAAAGAAGAAGATACGAACGTTGCCCACCTTCTGCCGTCCCAAGACGCTGCAGCTCCGGAGGCAGCCCAAATACCCTCAGAAGAGCGCCCCCAGGAGAAACAAGCTTGACCACTATGCCATCATCAAGTTCCCCCTGACCACAGAGTCAGCCATGAAGAAGATTGAGGACAACAGCACACTCGTGTTCATTGTGGATGTCAAAGCCAATAAGCACCAAATCAAACAAGCTATAAAGAAGCTCTATGACATTGATGTTGCCAAGGTCAATACCCTAATCAGGCCTGATGGAGAGAAGAAGGCATATGTTCGACTGGCTCCTGATTATGATGCATTGGATGTTGCCAACAAAATTGGGATCATCTAAACTGAGTCCAGCTGGCTAATTCTAAATATATACTTTTTTCTCAGTAAAAAAAATAAAATAAAATTTAAAAAAGGCTGGGATATAGCTTAGTGGAAAGGCCCTGGGTTCCATCCCAGCACTCAAAACAAAAAATAACCACAAAGGAAAAAAGAAGAAAGAAAAACAAGTTTTAAATGAACAAAAGTTACTAATAAGCTAATGCAGTTCCCTAGGTTTTTTCCATTTAAGCCTTTCTACAGATTTTGTCAATTTATTTGTTTTAGTTATTATTGGTGGTATAGGGGATTAAGCTGGGCCTTTGCACTGAGCTACATCCCCAGTTGGTTTTTTTTAATTAATTTTTTATTTTAAGATATAGTCTCTGAGGGCCAGGAAGATGGCTCAGTAGAATAAGCACTTGTCTGTCAAGTGCAAGGGCCTGAGTTCAATTCTGGTTCCATAAAAGAAAAAAAAAAGATATAGTCTCTGTATATTATTAACTTACTGAGACGTGAGGCTAGGGTCAAACTTACAGTCTTCCTGCTTCAGCCTCTCAGTAGCTAGGATCACAGGCGTGGGCCCCCACACTCAATGCCGGTTATCTTGAACAGGGGTCACTCCTTGGTAGCCTGTCCCTTTGCCTCTTGAGACTTTCCCAGCATGCTAGGGTTGCAGGTACGCCTCACTGGCTGCTGGTGGTTGCTTGGAAGCTTAGCCCTTGCTACCACACACTCGTCCTAGGTATCAGCAGGGCCCTGTGGTCTTCCCCTCCAGGTGTACACATGGTGTGCACCCTTTGAGTCTGACCTTATTCTCTGCAGAAGTGCTTCGGGCAGCCATTGTGCACTGTTGTCCAAAGCAGTCTGTGCATCTGGGAGCACTGATCTGGTGGCCCCTGCAGCCTGGCCCAGAGAGCTCTGCATCTTCCCAAAGCCCTGCACTTGGGCCTCCCTACATGGAGGCTCCCTGTCCCTGGCTGCCAGCCAGCGGCAGGAATGTGGTACATTGGCAGCCCTTATGGGAACACTGCCTCAAGGGCCATGTGTGCCCAGCTTTTGGGGGAATTCCTTCTCCCAAGGGTTTTGGGGACTAGCCCGATCTGCTGGTGGCCTCCAGGTGCCCCTGGTACCTGGGCTGCCCAGGAGGCCCCAGCTGTCAACTCTGACCCTCAGTCTGCTATTGGCTCCGCAGCGCATCGGCTACCTCGCTGCCTCCCAGTGCTTCCACGAGGGCACAGATGTCATCATGCTGACCACAAACCAGATCCGCAAGGTAGGCCCCACCCGTGAGCCTGATGTGGCTGGTCTCCACAGTCATGTGGCATGTGGCATGTGGCGAGCCCAGAGGCCACGGCACTGCAGGTCAGTGGGTCTCCCACACCGTAGTTCGTCTCAGTGAGCTGAAGTGGCTCCCGTCTCCTGGCCTTCGTGGGTCTGCACACTTGTGCTCTGGCTGGTTTGTGAGGCCAGGGCTTTGCTGAGCCCTCACTTTCTCATGTCCTCTGTGTGCTACAGGAAGGCTGGCTCGGGCAGTCCCTCCACTTCCATCCCTCCTCTTGGAGCCACACCTGCCCTGCTGGGTCCTCTACCTTTTCCCACCCCTGGGCACCCTTTGCTGTTAGACCCTGGGGTTACATGACGTGGGTATTTTCAAGCATGTAGGTTTTTTTAAACTTTAAACCTTATTTTTTATTTTAGTTAGTCACTGTGCTGCTGTTTGCTTTTTTTTTTTTTTTTTTTTTTTTTTTTTGTCAAACTCAGGACCAGGCAGGCACTTGTGCCACTGAGCTATGTTTCTGGCCTCTGGTTTACTTTTTAAGGCAGGGGAGGCTTCTGGGCTTGGGCTTCACTGTCATGTCCTAGAAAACATGTTTTGCCCCCAGGCCAGAGACATAACCTAGGTAGAAGCATGTCTCCTGGTCACCTCCCGTGGCACCTGCCCTGGGCCTGTAGGGGTGGTCACCTGGGATGCAGGGCTGTGCTGGGAGCAGGGTAGCCACAGCCCAGGCCTTGCAGTGACCCATGAACCGGGGCCTTTGTTCCCTAGAGCCAACATACTTGGCTCTTACACCCGGAGTTTTATGTTTGTGTCTTCATCTGTCCCATCTCCTCCCTTGATGACACCGTGGAATTAGCAGGGTTTGTCCCCCTTGCCTAGACTCAGGGCAAGGCCCCACAGCAGGGGCAGAGGGACACGGCTACACCTATTGTGATTGACATGTGGCTTGGGGCTGCCTATCACCTTGACCTCTCCCCTGCAGGACCTGAGCAGCCCCAGCCAGTACGACACAGGAGTGGCACTGACTGGTCTATCCTGTTTTGTCACCCCAGATCTTGCCAGAGACCTGGCAAATGACATCATGACACTGGTGAGTTTGTGAATTCCCCGGCCACTGTGTGAACTCACTCTGAGTTCCAGGTGCCGCCCTGAGGTAGATCAGATGAGACAGGCGCTCCGTTATGGTCACGCTTCACTCTGCTTCAGGCCACTTCTGTCCCTGCACTTGTCAGTTAGCCGGTGAAGTCTTCTGCTGGCAGAGGGCAGCCCCTCCCATCAGCCTGGCCTGGTGTTTGTTTCCTTGCTGAGGCCTTCCTCAGTGGCCAGCCAGCTTCACTATGGTCCCATCCTTCCTCCATCCCTCAGGCCACCCAGGTGTCCCTATCCACGGTCTGGCTCCTTATGGTCACTCTCCTCTCAGAAGAGTCCCCATGGTACTCTGTAGCATGCTGGTCCTCCCAGCTGCAGGAGGAGGGACACTATTTGAGGCCAATGTTGGTGCCATGCCATAGCGTAGGGTAGCCCTGTCAAGGTGGAGGGTGGGCAGCTGTGGGGAAGGCCTAATAGAAACGCTTGGCATCCCACATGTCACTGGGAGACAGTAGGCTCTGCCCCCTTCTTGTCCCTCTGGGCCCCATGCTGCTCCGGGACAAGTAGTGAGGGTTAGGGCAGGTAGGAGGTAGGGCGCAGACAGTGGACAGTGTGGGGAGAGGAAGGGGCCGTTGGGTTGGAGAGCAGTAGAGCAGGCCGGGACTCAAGGGAGCTCGAGCTTCTGCACACTGCGGCCCCTTCTTCACAGATGTCGCACACCAAACCGTACATCAGGAAGAAGGCCGTGCTGATCATGTACAAGGTGTTTCTCAAGTACCCCGAGTCACTACGGCCTGCCTTTCCCCGCCTCAAGGAGAAGCTGGAGGACCCTGACCCTGGTTAGTGGATTCTGGGCATACAGAAGGGCTATTGCAAGGGAGAGGTGGGGACACTAGGTGTAGAGCCGCACTGGAAGTCCCGTATGGAGCACAGTGACAGCTGGCTGTGGCCTGCACACATAATGGCAGCCACAGATGCAGTAGCCGAGCAAGCAGGGCCAGCAAGGTCTGGTTGGCTTTGGGCTCTTCCTGGGACTCTAGGTCCTGTGTATCCAATTGACAGCCTTGGGGGTTCCTGGGGCACTGGCGTGGTGCCTTGCCTGCCTCCCTGAGAGGGCAGCCTACAGCCCAGCGTGGACCAGCAACCACGTGAGGGATGCGTGCAGTCATACGTGGTGTTGTGTCTCAGTTGTTGTATATAGTACTTTGAGAGAAAGAGAGAGTGACTTCAGGTGTTAGGACAGAGAGGTGGAAGGGACAGTGTACAGTCACAGGTCCTGGGGTGCGTAGTATCCCTGAGCCCCACGGCTGGCTCAGAGTGTGTGGGTCTGGGGCAGGGAATGAGGGATGTGTGCACTAGGGATTGCAGTGGGTGGGGTTTTCTTTTTGTTTTGACTTTTTGAGATCATTTCATTGCAGAGTTCAGGCTGGCCTTGAACTCACTATATAATCTAGGTTGGTCTCAGCTTCCCAAGTGCTGGACCCAGGGCTTTAGAGCAAGTGGCACAAGTCCCCCAGGCGCCCCGAGACAAGAGAGCTCAGCAGACACGTCTGCACAGTCTGCAAGGGGTATGGTCAGTGGGAAGTCAAGCAGACTGTGTCCAGTGTCCTGCAAAGAGGAGCCCTCAGCAGCAGCTGCAGTTCTGGCTGGGCCCCATGGAGGGGCAGGGGGAGTGCAAGCTGGAACCTGTGTGGGTGACTGATCCTGCTGCTGAGTCAGTGACACTGTTGCCAGGGCTGGTGTGGCACACTAAGGCAGGGAGGGGTGGCCAGGGAAGTTAGTTGTTGCTTGCACAGCGCCCGCGGCCCAGAGCTGTGTTGAGGGTGCAGGGGAGGGGGGAGGCCAGGGCTGCGGCTGTACTCAGGTTGTACTATACCCCTTGTTTGGCAGGCACCAGCCTCCAGGTCTCATCCCCAGCATGAGCAAAGAGGCACAGAGCCCTCCTGCATCCTGGCAGATACAGTTAACCCCAGCTGCTACCTCCAACCATGTTGTGGCCTGGTGTTCTCATTGGGGCACTGTGGGATAGTCGCTGGTGTCCTTACCTTGTGCTGCTGACATTACCTGTGGTCACTAGTTTTGGGTGGCCCCACCAGGACACCCACTGTCCACTTGCTCTGGTGGCCTTGTAACCAATGAGTATGGATAGCCACCTCATCCAGTTCCAACTGGGCAGGTTGTTCCATTCTTGCATTACTTGAAAAGAAATTGCATTGGTATTGATCATAAACAGACTTTTCCTTGTCCCCTCTCTCACTTCCTTTTTCCCTTCCTCCTTTCCTTTCTGAGATAGGGACTTGCTATGGATTTCAGATTGGCCTTGACCTCTCAAGTGCTTGGATGACAGGCTTTGTCACCACACCCAGCTTCTTGTTACTCCTTAAACAGCACAGTGTAACAAGGTGCACAGCATGTCTATTGTGTTAGGCATCACAAGTCCCTTATAGGTGACAGAGATGTCTAAGGGAGCTCAGGTCCTCTGCAGGCTGTGGCATGTCAGCTAAAGGACTGGAGCATCCTTGAATTTTGGTGTCTGGAGGTCCTGGAAGTGGCCCCCATGGACATGCGGCGGTCACACATGGAGCCATGTACATTTGCTGCCTCCTGTAATATGAGCGCCTGTGGGACAGTGCTGATGTGTGTTAGAGCCAGCTCCTGTGTCTCTTAGCAGGAGCTCTGTGAAGGAGCTGTCCTGCTCAGTTACCTGTTTATCCTCTGGTTTCTTGGCATCAGAACAAGTCCACAAACAAGAGGCTTCCTTCTATGGGGTGTAATCTGTCATCCGTCCATCCATCCACTTTTTCATCTGTGCCCCCCACCCCTGGAGTGCTTACCACTGAGCCACACCCCCAGCACTCCCCACTCCACCTTTAGGAGTTTTATGAAAGGGCTGCACTGTGTGGCCCAGGTTCCTTGAACTTTTGGCCATCCTCCTGCCTCAGCCGCCTGAGTGCTGGGATTCTAGGTGTGCCCCACCATGCCTGACACCCCTTACCTCCGTGCATCACTTTGCTCTCTGGCACCTGTGCTGCTGGGTTTGCTTGTACCTCACCTGGAGTCTGGGTTCCTCTGCACAGCTCAGGTGTGGGGACCTCTCTGCAGCGTGGGTCTGTTTCTTTGTGTCCACCTGGTGGGGCTCACTCTGGCTAGCTAAGTACATGTCCAGGTGCAAGTGTGTTCTCAGGCTTGGGATGCTTGCCCACCCAATGCCCCCTCACTGACAAGGCTGCCCCTCCTACTGACACCCTCCCTTGGTCCTCAGGGGTCCAGTCAGCAGCTGTCAATGTTATCTGTGAGCTGGCTCGGCGTAACCCCAAGAACTACCTATCCCTGGCTCCACTGTTCTTCAAGCTCATGACATCCTCTACCAACAACTGGGTCCTCATCAAGATCATCAAACTGGCAAGTGCCACCTTGGGATGGTGGACGCGCTCCGGGCCTGTCTGGTGGGCACTGCGGCCATGGGAGAGAGGTGTAGTGCTGCATGTGTGGCCCTCCTGCTGCCTGCAGTGACTGTGATCCTCTGTCCCTGCAGTTTGGTGCCCTGACCCCTCTGGAGCCAAGGCTGGGCAAGAAGCTGATCGAGCCTCTCACCAACCTCATCCACAGGTAGGATTCTCCTGGGCCACGCCTGGCTGGCTCTGGGTGGACTGGGCCACTGCCCAATCTCTTGGGAGCCTCCAGGGTCACTAAGTAGGGCGCTCCCCAAAGCAGTGGTGTACACCCTTTCAGTTTTGCTGTAGGCACTGAGCACCCTTTATGGAGTCTCTTACCCCTCCGGGGACTATCATGTGGCTCTATCCCTTGGAGTCTATTTTTTTTCTCCTAATACTGAGACTGAACCCAGGGCCTTTGCTCTGAGCTCTGTCCCCAGGCCCTCTTATGTCTTGATCCCCCTGCCTGAGCTTCCCGGAGTGCTGGGATGACAGGTGTATGCTGCCATGCCCAAATCCCTTGAATTCACTTTTAAGATAGCAACTTCAGTGCCAGGGAGCTAGCTCAGTGGCACAGCACCTGCCTGGCAAGCACAGGGTCCTGAGTCTGATTCTTGGTAGCAAGCAAAACCACTGCGGGCTGGAAACAGCAAGGATTTGCTGTAAATGCATCAGCTGCTCAGTGAAAGGCTCCGATGGAACTAGCTGGGACTGGGACCTTTCAGTTTTAGCCACCCACATTTGTTGACCCTACAGCGAGGCATGACTCTTGGAGTGTGGTGTCAAGTGGCCACAGTGCCTCGCTTCTCTCAGGCTTCAATGGTTTGAGATGGAGATGATGAACCAGGCCCCTGGAAGGGCTTGGGCCCCTGGAAGGGCTTGGGCCTGAAGTGTCTTTGTTTTTTGTTATTTTTTTTTCCAAATTTTATTTATTTATTTGTGTGTGTGTGTGTGTGTGTGTGTGTGTGGCCAGCTCAGTCCACCAGCCAGCTCAGTCCACCAGGGGGCGGGGCTGGCTGGCATATGGTGCTGGGGGATTGAACCTCAGTCCCTGTGCTTTGCTAAGCTTGTTCTAAGTAGGTGCTTTAGACCACTGAGCCATCTCACCAGCCCATTGCAGAAGGGTTTTGGGTTTTTTGTTTTTTGTGGTTTTTGTTTTTGTTTTGTTTTTTTGCGTCTCCAGATTGCCTCCAGTGCTGGTCTGGGTTGCCTTGAGTATCTGGGAATCGAACCACCGCTCCCAGAGACTGACTACTTCATTTAAGCAGGCACTTAAACAACTGAGCTAATGGGCGGGCCCCCGAAGTGTCTTTTTAGTCTAGCAGAATTCAAAGCTTACGTACAGGAGTTGGAGCCTTCATGCCAGGCCACCTTTTGCTCCCAGAGGGAGGTGCTTTGTCCCTCAGATGCAGAGACTGGATGGGCCCTGGGCCCTAGGGATAGGTGCAGGTCAGGGTAGAGAACAAGGTACAGCAGGAGTGCAGAGGGGACAACAGGTGATGGGCAGGCCTGCTCCCTTCCCTGGGGAAGATGAGGGACAGTGACTGTCACCTGTGGTGGAGCTCCAGGGGGTGACCATGTTGCTGTCTGTGTCCCCACCGCATGCCTCAGCCTCACGCTGCTTCCCTCCCTCCCTAGCACGTCTGCCATGTCCCTTCTCTACGAGTGCGTGAACACTGTGATCGCAGGTGAGGCCCGTCCACGACTGCCCACGAGCAAGTGCTGTCAGGCAAGGGGAGGGGGCCTGGCCTGGAGTGCAGGAAAAAGCTGAACTGAGGCGCCACAGCTGGCCGGGCCTGCAGCCTACCCTGGAGTCAGGTGGCTACAGCCCCAGGCCTGTTTCCCACCATCCCTTGGTAGGTGTAGGGATCCATTGGTGGCCTCAGTGTGATCGGTTATACCCTGGGAGAAACGGCGGTGGCAAGAATAAGAAAAGGATAGACAAGAAGACAAAAGCTAGGCTAGGTGACTGGTCTGCCTGGTTGGCAGAGGAACCCACCAGCAAAACAAAACCAAGGTTTATACCTTTGCAAAGTTAGCAACACATGATATAAGGTTGCCTAGCAACTAATAGCTGACCTTAACCAGACAGGATGTTTATCTCAGGACTGAGATAGCTTGTTTACTTTAGGCACTGAGGCCTAGTCCCACCGACACACCTTTGACAGATTTTCCAGTTTCCATGGCTCCCAATATTGCGGTGTCCCTTCTTTCATGATGTACTCCTCATAGTGCAGTCCTGTCCTGGACCCCAGGTGAGGGCCATAGTCCCTCTGGGAAGCCCAGCTGCCCAGCACCTACCTGCCCTGGTGGTCACATGGGACACAACAAGCTGTAGCAATGTGAATGTCACCCAAGAGCTCACAGAGCTCCAGCATCTTGGGAAGTTTATGTATTTACTTTTGTATTTGTGTTTGGTCAGGTTACTCAGGCTGAGCTCAAATTTTCTATCCTCCTGCCTCAGTCTCCTGAGTACTAGAATTAGAGGTGTGTGCCACTATGCCCAACTAGGGTCTAAGGCTTTTATGAGGAGTACATCACCCCACTGCCCTACTTATGCCAACATCCTGGACTCTAGAGGCCAGCAGTAGCTGAGCATGAACCACACTGTTTGCATTGGGGTGTAGGCCCAGAGCCCCTTGCATCAAGCCAAGGTTCTCAGATGCCACTGGGGCAGCCACCTTCTGAGCACACCGCGGAGGCCTGAGACAGCTGTGCTTAGACACCACTTGGAAAGACCAGGCCTGGTTAAGAGGCCTTGGCTCCCGAGTGCTCCACTTGGGCAGGGGCGCGGGACGACAGGCTGCTGGCGGCCTGGTTCCTGGAGCTGACCCGCACCCTCTGTTTCAGTGCTCATCTCTCTGTCCTCCGGGATGCCCAACCACAGTGCCAGCATCCAGGTGCGTCCCAGGGCCAGCCAGAACCTGCTGTGGGTAGGCACAGGAACACGGAGGGAGTAGCTGCCCACACCAGCAGAGGTCCTGATGCTTCTCCTGCCCGCTCCCTGCGGGCACTTCTGTGACCCCTGCTCTGGAATTAGCTGAGGCACTGTAGGTGTCACTGGCTCATCATTCAAGAGAGCTGTCCATTTTCCCTGAGCCTGTGACATTTATACAAAGCCTCATCCCTGTCGGGGGGAGCTCCCTGATGATCCAGGGACCAGTAAAATGGTCACTTCCATGCTTAGTCTAATTACACAAGTAGGGACAGTCCCTCTCCCTCCCTGGAGCACACAGCCTGCCCACCACAGGTGTCCCCAGTCACCACAGCAACACTCTTGATTTGTCCTTCCTGGCATAGTTATACCGAGCAGGTCCAGAGGGGACAGCCTAGGCCACGCTCTAGTCCCCACCCTGCAGTTTGAAGAGCCTGGGCCCTGGGGCAGGCCCAGAGGAGATAGACTTCACATTTGTTCTTGGAGGTTGTAACCCAGAAGATTTTCCTTTTTTCAGCTCTGTGTTCAGAAATTAAGGATACTGATAGAAGACTCCGATCAGAACCGTAAGTTGTCCTAGCAGCCCCACGCGCTCGTTTCCCATGGTCCATAGCCTTTGTGGAATCGGAAGGGAGACTGGAGCGTGGTGATGCCTGGCTATCCTTGTGGGGGGAGGGGATGGGGATGGAGGCTGTGTGTGCTTGTCTCTGGGGACACAGGGCTCCATGGAGCTTAGCCAGGACACTGCACAGACAGGTCTAAGCAGTGAGCAGAGCCATGCTGAGATTTGATATGTCTCTGTCCCCATCAGGCAGGATGAGTGCGTGTGGTAGCCCTGGGCAACCCTGCTGGGCTGTCTCCGTGCCTTGTCTGGGCTGAGCCTGTGCAGAATGTAGCTCAGGGCTGCCTCCCAGCCAGAGGGATGTATCCAGTGGCCGCTTTGAGTCCCTGCCTTTCAAGTTGGCATGAGATCACAAACTCTTCTCTGGGCCCTGGGGCAGACCCGGAAGAGATGGGGGCCAGGGAACAAACATCCCGCCTCGGGGGCGCCACAGTCTGCCTAACAACTGCTCACCTCTATGTCCCATTGTGGCTGATCCAAGGATGGGTGGATCTGTCCCCTGGGGTGGGACCTCATCAGAGGAACCCAGGCTGTGCCTTGAGGTGCCTGGTCTCCAAGGCTTGATGCCTCAGGTTTAGCTCCGCTGTCCTTTAGGGGCCAAATGTGGGCTACGCAGAGTAGACTTAAGGGTGGGGGACCTGAGACCCACACAGTGCCTGAGGCCCTCATGGGGTGTGAATCTTTCCCTGTGCTGGATGGCGAGAAGGGTGGCAGTAACTAGCAAGCACTGTCACACTCTGGGTAAGTGGATGGGAGTCCAGGAGGGCTCCTGCGAGTCGAGACTGGTGGTCTTCCCTGGCTTGCCTAGTACCTGCTTCTTCCACTGCCCCCTGGAGAGACCTGTTTGTGGACCGCGCTCCCCAGGGGTGCGGTGCACAGCCTCTGTCCAGGTCTGTAGGGGACACATCCCAGTTGCTCCCTGGTTCTTGGGCTAGGCAGCAGCCAGCCGTGGTGCCAGGATCTCCTGTGCAGCCCATGCGGTCCTGTGGCACTGGTATCCCACTGTCCCAGGGCCCACAGCCTCTCGGTCTCCCCACAGTTAAGTACCTGGGGCTGTTGGCCATGTCAAAGATCCTGCGGACGCACCCCAAGTCCGTGCAGTCCCACAAGGACCTCATCCTGCAGTGCCTGGACGACAAGGACGAGTCTATCCGGCTGCGAGCCCTCGACCTGCTCTACGGGATGGTGCGCCCGGCCCCGCTTCTCCCTCCTTAGGTCTCGGTCTCCCGAGTCCCCTCCTGGGCAGGGTTGGTCAGCAGGCGGCTGGGAGCCCCTGGGGCCAGCAGAGGGTCACCTGCCTCAGGCTGACCTGTCCTAAGGCCCTGTGTGGACTGGGGTGTGGTGGGGCCGAGGCCTGCAATGGCTGACACACCAGCTGACCTTCCTGTGGCCTGTGCTCCTTGGGCATCTTGGACTGAGGAGCACACGTCCCTCGGTGCCAGCCCCTTACCTGCTGTGTCCCCAGGTATCCAAGAAGAACCTGATGGAGATTGTCAAGAGGCTGATGACCCATGTGGACAAGGCTGAGGGTACCACCTACCGCGATGAGCTGCTCACCAAGATCATCGACATCTGCAGCCAGTCCAACTACCAGTACATCACCAACTTCGAGTGGTCCGTGCCTGTCACATCGCACCGGTCCCCACCTGGGTGGGCGGTGCCACTGTACTTCTGTGGGCACTTCTCATGGCTCCCTCCACTGGCAGGTACATCAGTATTCTGGTGGAACTGACAAGGCTGGAGGGGACCCGCCATGGCCACCTCATCGCTGCACAGATGCTGGATGTGGCCATCCGTGTGAAGGCCATCCGCAAGTTCGCTGTGTCCCAGATGTCCGCACTGCTCGACAGCGCCCACCTTGTTGCCAGCAGCACCCAGCGGAATGGGATCTGTGAGGTGCTGTACGCCGCTGCCTGGATCTGTGGGGAGTTCTCAGAGTAAGTGGCTTCGGGAGCCCTGACAGAGGGACCAAAAGAAGGGACACAGTGTCTGACCACACTCACCCAGGGCCCGGCCCAGCAGGCAGTGTGGGGTCCACTTCCTAACCCTGGCGCTCCTGGTCACACACTGCCCAGTCCTGGCTACTGTGCCTGTTACAACAGGACCTGCTGAACACAGCGAGGGCGCTCTGTCTCTGGAATCCCAGAGGCCCGGTCCAAGGCGCGGTCCTGCCATTGTGCTAAGGGGAAAAGTTTAAAGATAAACAGTTTTTAGTCACAAAAGAACAAATCAAAAAGCAAACTAGGTTACATGAGTTCATTGCCTGTAGTCACTGGGCCTTTTCTTATTTATTTTATTTTATTATTATTTTCAGTGAGGGGCTCCCTATGAAGTACAGGCTGGCCTTGAGCAGCTCACTTTGTAGCCCAGGCTGGTCTGTCTTTCTTTTTTTTTTTTTTTTTGGCAGAACCAGGGATTGAACTCAGGGCTTTGCACTTGCCAGGGAAGTGTTTATGTGCTTATTCCACTGAGCCATCTCCCTGGCCCTCTCCAGGCTGGTCTTGAACTCACAGCAGTCCTCCTCCTCAGCCTCCTGAGTGCTGGGATTACAGGCATGCGCCACCACACCTGGTTCCCTTTGCCTTTCTGACTCCCCTGCCACAGTCCTGGATTCCTACACAGTCTGCCCTGGGGTTGGTTGGGGTTTCCTATGTCTTTTCTCTGCCCCTTTCCTGCCCAGCTGCTCCAAAATGGGCATGTCTATGCGTGTGCTCTTCAGTCAAGTCCACTTCGTTGGTCACTTATTTCTCCTGGCTCTTGAGTCCTGTCTGGCCCTGCACCTGTTCAGGCAGCAGAACTCTCAAGGTGGCGCTGTGGTGCAGAGCCCCAGGTCCCTTCCTCAGTGTCCCGCTAGGGAGGCCTCACCGTGGCCCCTGTCCTCCAGGCATCTGCAGGAGCCCCCCCAGACCCTGGAGGCCATGCTGCGACCCAAGGTGACCACGCTGCCTGGCCACATCCAGGCGGTATACGTGCAGAACGTAGTGAAGCTGTACGCGTCCATCCTGCAGCGTCGAGAGCAGGCGTCGGAGGCCGAAGCGGCACAGGAGGTGACACAGCTCATGGTGGAGCGGCTGCCACAGTTCGTACAGAGCGCTGATCTGGAGGTGCAGGAGCGGGTGAGCAGGGTCTGCGTCTCTGACATGGCCTGTTGTCCCCTTTACACACAAATGAAGCCATTGTTATAGCTATGCCCCACTGAATTTTAGGTGTCTTAGTAGGGTATTGGTTTGATCAGCCTGGGCAGCAGTCTCAGAAATAACCATGGGTGCTGGGGGTGCTATTCCTGTCCTGGGATATCTGGGCTAAGAGACAGCAGGCAGGTGAGAGCTTGGGGTTTTATCCTCTATGTCAGGGTGGTGGTGCAAAACAGAGGTTCTTAGCAAGCTGGTCTGCCCACCCACCAGCCTTAGGCAGGTTGGCTGCTTGTCCAGCCCAGGGAAGAGAGCAGGTATAGTACTGGCCAGTGGGTCAGTGGGGAGGCCCAGCCCAGAGTGTGCCTGCCCATTGTGGTCACTTTCAGCATGTGGTCACAAGCCTGTGGCACTGTCGTATTGGGCCGTGTCCCAACATGAGTCAGACCTGCACAGAGATAGAGTGGCCAGAGGCATTCCCCACAGGAGGTGGCACTGTGGACATGGCAGACTCGGTGTGGGGTGTTTTTACTAGAGCAAGCTCCCTCTTGTCACAGTCCCCAGTAGACTTGTCCCTCTCCTCCTGTCTAAAGTGACAGAAGCAAGCTAGGCGTTGTGATGCACACCTGTTATCCCAGCACTTTGGATGCCTAAGGCTGGAGGGTAACAAGTTCAAGCTGATCCTGGGCAACTTAGCAAGACCTTTTCTCAAAATAAAAAGAAGTTGGGGTACAGCTCATTGAAGAGACCTTGGGTTCCATCCCCACAATGCAAGGTGAAGAAAAGGAAGAAGACAGCACTAGAGATTGGCTAGATCTCTGGCCAGTGAGGGCTGCCATCCCTGGGACCCTGGCTAGCCGAGTAACCCCCATCTCTCTGCAGGCGTCCTGCATCTTGCAGCTGGTCAAGCACGTGCAGAAGCTGCAGGCCAAGGGTGTGCCCGTGGCGGAGGAAGTAAGCGCTCTCTTTGCTGGGGAGCTGAACCCAGTGGCCCCCAAAGCCCAGAAGAAAGTGCCAGTCCCCGAAGGGTGAGGACAGAGAGCCAGGGCAGGGGCCAATGGCTATAGCATGCTGAATGCGTCCTGTGCCAGAAGTGGCAGTGGGGAGGTGGGACTGGCTGGTGAAGGGCCTGCGCCCGTGCTCACCAGGCCCTGAGGCCAAGCTCCACAGGTTCCAAGGCTCCGTCTGGCCCTGGTGTGACCTCACGGGATGCCAGCATTCCTGCATCTCCAGGTCTGCACTAAGAGGCAGTAATATCTCTGCCTTGACTGGCCGCATGGCTAATGGATGTGGGGGTCAAAGTGTCACACAGTTGAGCACATGGTGGCTGCCACTAAGGCAGATGCTTCAGGTTGTGCTGCTATGACAGTGCTCTGTTGCTGAGTGGCTCTGTGACCTCCCTGTCCGGTACAGTCTGGACCTTGACGCCTGGATCAATGAACCACCCTCAGACAGTGAGTCTGAGGATGAGAAGCCCAAGGCCATCTTCCATGACGAGGAGCAGAGGCAGGCCCGGCACCGCCACCCTGAAGTAGATGAGGAGGAGCTGGCTCGGGTAAGTGGTACCATGGCCTCGTGCCCTCCTCCCCCCTCATCCCACAGATTTTGGGGCAGTGTCCAGTCCCTGTGCAAGCTCCCGAGCCCACACCTGCACAAGGGCTGTCACATCAGGGTTTTGTGTCCTGCCATCCTCCTAGGCAACCTGCCACCCATGCCTCCCAAATGACCTCATCTTAGCTGCTAGTAGGCAACGATTCAACCCCATGCCATGTCCGAGAAGCCCCAAGGAGGGCAGGGATGAAAAGGAGCACCAGCTGCCTTTGGACCCCACTGTAGTCTCCTCTGTTCCGGGAGAGGTGTGGCTCCTTGCCCAGTCAGGCATTGTTTGGATGAAAATGGTCACCCACCTCCTAGTGTGAATCTTCTCCTGACACCGCCTTGTCCCTTGGAGCCTGAGGCTCTGTGTCTGGCAAAGCCCTAGACCCTCATCCCATACCAGCATGTGAGGAGCTGTCAAAGGAGTTCATGTGGCTCTTGTCCCCACAGCGACGAGAGGCCCGGAAACAGGAGCAGGCCAACAACCCCTTCTACATCAAGAGCTCCCCCTCCCCACAGAAGGTGAGCTGCCACCATGCTTTTGGAACAGCACCACAGCCACCCCAGCCCTGGCCACTTGTCTGGTTTGACAAAGTCAGGCAGTGTCCACTGTCTTCAGGAGACCTCCACCCAGCTGCCCCCAGGAGGTACCACCTCACAGCAGCCTGTGCCCTTGCAGGCACCCTAGGTCCCTTATGTGCCCATTGTGTCCAGCTTTCAGTAGGTCCTGGAGTGGGCAGAGGTCAAAGTGAGCAGGTAGGACCTTGGAGAACCTCTGGACCCTACCAGCACTTGGCTGACCGCTCTTCCCTCCCCCACCCCAGGCCAGGCTGACTGTGGCTCAGACTCCATCACTGTCCCAACTTGAAGAGCAGGGTACAGATGGGAAAGCTGGCAAGAGCTCTGCCCCCTCTCTGCAGCACACCTCACTCTGGTGTTCCACCCCAGTGACAATTTCCCTATCCTTAAGGGTGTAGACAAAGATGTGCCGTGTTCTTGGCTCCTGGCAGGACACGCCTTCCCATGCCCCGTGTGCCCAGGAGTCTGGGCACCAGTAACGCCCACATTGCTCTCGCAGCGGTACCAGGATGCGCCGGGAGTGGAGCACATCCCTGTGGTGCAGATCGACCTTTCTGTGCCCTTGAAGGTCCCAGGCAAGTGTCTGCTGGTACCTAGTTACCCCTGAGTCCTGTGGGTTGTGGGGCTTCCCTATCTGTCCCCGTCCCCAGTGGTGGCTCCCACCTAGTGGTGTGACTGGCCACATGTCCCCACAGGCATGCCCATGTCCGACCAGTATGTGAAGCTGGAGGAGGAGCGTAGGCACCGGCAGCGACTAGAGAAGGACAAGAAGAAGCGCAGGAAGAAGGAGAAGGAGAAGAAGGGCAAGCACCGCCGCCACAGCTCGCTGCCCACTGAGAGCGATGAGGATATCGCCCCTGCCCATCAGGTGGACATTGTCACCGAGGAGATGCCCGAGGTCAGTCCTGCCTGGATACCGATGTGTCACCCTTGTGTTACGTCCTCATCCAAAGCTGCTTGCCCCTTGGACAGTGGCCAGTTTTCCCTGGCTGGATGGGATCAAGGAGAGGCTACAGGTCCAGAAAGCTCAGCAATTTAAGCACCTGCCTGGCAAGTACAAGGTCCTGAGTTCAATCCCCAGTACAAAAAAAAAAAAGAGGAAAGGCTACCAAGCCAGCCTGATCTGTATCCCCTGCACAGTGCTCTCAGCCCCAGTGCAAATGACAATAGGTGACACCTTCAGGCAGAGCTGCCCACTGCCTGCCTTGGCACACAGAGCTGACCGCTCTTGGCAGCTGTGCCTGGAACAAGGAGCGGGAAGGGGATGCTGGCAGGACCCCGTTGTGGTGCTAACTGGGCCCTGGTTCTTCCCTGTCCTCTCAGAACGCTCTGCCCAGTGACGAGGATGACAAAGACCCCAATGACCCATACAGGGCTCTGGACATTGACCTAGACAAGTAAGTGAGGGGCAGGCAGTCGTGCTGATGCCCCCACGGTGGCCACGGGTGGGTTGCGTTCAGGCCAGGGCTTACGCTAGAGCATGCTGAGGCGGGCAGTGATGTCCATGCCGAGATGCTGGTGAGGGCTCTTGAGTTCTTCATCCTGGGAACCAGGGAATTCCCCAGGCCTTGGGGAACAGAGTAGCCCTGCAGAGGATGAGGCCGACTCAGCCAGGCATTGGGGACTTGGGGAGATGGCAGATCCTGTGCTCCTGTCCTGTGCCCACTGTCCAAGGGGCAAGCAGCTCTGGATGGGGATGTGATACGAGGGTGACACATCTGTACCTGGGCGGGACTGACCTCGGGCATCTCCTTGGTGACACCTGACGTGTGCCCTGTGGCCTCGCACATCCATCTGATGACCAGCCCCACCCTGTCCAAAGGCCGTTGGCAGACAGCGAGAAGCTTCCTGTTCAGAAACACAGAAACGCCGAGACCTTGAAGTCTCCTGAGAAAGAGGATGTCCCTGTGGTAGAAAAGAAGAGCAAGAAACCCAAGAAGAAAGAAAAGAAGCACAAAGAGAGGGAGAAAGAGAAGAAAAAAGAGAAGGAGAAGAAGGTACACAGTGCTGGGCTGGGCCTGGTCCCACCCTGCTACCTCCTTGGGTTCCTGGGTGGCTTAGGACAACGCAATCACTAACAGGACAAGGGCCACCATGAGTCAGGTCCGTAGCTGGTGCCCGCAAGGCTCACAGAAGAGTAGGAGCCCAAGCTCCAGGCAGGGGTTCAGCCGTAGGTACCCAGGGCATTGTAGTAAGCATCTGCCTACAGCTTTTATCTGGAGGCACTGGGTTTGGTTTGGTTTGGTTTGCGGAACCGGGGATTGAACTCAGGCCCTTGTACTTGCCAGGGAAGCACTTATTCCACTGAGCCATATCCCTGGCCCCAGGAGGCACTGGGGTTTTAAGGAGCCACAAAGTGGCCTTGTGGCCTTGCTCAGCAGCAGCCTGACTCCCCAGCACTGTCCACACAGCAGCCCTCCCCAACCAGCACTCAGCCATCCTCATGGGCCAACGTGCAGGCTGTCGCTGGCATTTTGGCTGTGGGAAGCAGCACGTGTTGTGTGGATCCGTGGGTGGACTGCGAACACAGTGGCCAGGGATGTTGATTATAAGAACAGCCAGTTGTGGGCCTAGTGGGACAGCCAGGAACAGGAAGGGCAGCATTATGAGGCCAGAGCTCTTCTGTCCCTGTCACTTGCCCTCTCAGAACAGTCCTCCTCCTGCTGAAATGGTCTTCCTATGATTTTAGGCCGAGGACTTGGATTTCTGGCTCTCCACCACCCCACCCCCTGCCGCTGCCGCTGCCCCTGCCCCCATCCCATCCACGGTAAGAGCTGGCAGACATCCCACTTGGGCACCAGGTGGGTGGGCACTGCCCTGTTGGTCCTGTGTGCAGGTCCAGAGCCCAGCACTGTGGAATGTCCTTGCCAGGCTGGCGCTCCCAGCCCTTCTCCTGGTTTCCTGATACTCCCATGGGACCCTGCAGTTGGCCAGGGCCCACTGAGGCAGAAAGGGCAGCCAGCCAGGGCTGCTGTCCACAAGCTCCTTCAGGCCTGCTGGGGTGGTGTTCAAGGCCGCTTTTCTCCCATCGAGCCATGAGCCCCCGACCCTCTCGGCCCCCTGCAGGAAGAGCTCAGTGTAAATGCAGCCACCGCCTCCGAGGACACCTGTGAGGGACCCAAGGGAGAAGAGGCAGAGGACGAGGACTATGGCACAGAGCAGGACCCAGAGAGGGTGAGGACCTCAGCAGGTGGAGGGATGTGGGCAGGGGGCAGGCTCACAGAGATGGCCCTGCTGTCTGTGCCCACAGGGCCAGACCCCACCACAAGGCAGCTGCTCATACCCTGTGCGGAAGGGCCTCTTCTCAGGGGCCCTTTATGCCACTGTTATATTCATGGTTATATATATATATATATATATATTGCGGTGTGGGTTTTGGGTTTGTTTCCTTTTTTTTTTTTTCTCTTCTTTTTCGTACTGGGGATTGAACTCTGGGCCTTGTGCATGCTAGGCTAGGCAAGTGTTTGCTTTTGAAAACAGGATCTTTCTATATGGCCCAGGCTAGCCTTGAACTCACACCTCAGTCCCCATATGCTTTATAAGTATGTTCCACCATACCCAGTAGACGACAGCCTTTTTAAAATGATTTGCTCAGCCCCAGATCCCTGGGTGCCCCTGTGGCCGGAAATGGGTGTGGTGGCTCACACCTGTAATCCCAGCACTTGGGAGGGTGAATCAGGAGGATCTCTGCAAGTTTGAGACCAGCCTGGGGGCTACAAAAGTGAGCACAAACCAGCCAGAACTGCATAATGAAACCCTGCCCCCCCCCCAAAAAAAAAGTATGGTTTGGAACCAGGGATTACAGTTCAGCGGCACAGCACCTGGCTGGCAAGCGTGTGGCCCTCAGTTTGATTCTCAGTACCAAAAATAAAATGTATGAGGGCCAGCAAGATAGCTCAGCAGACTAAGCGCCTGCTTTGGCAGACACAGGGACCAGGGTTCAATCCCCGGTCCTGTGTGCCGAGCTGGTCCCGTCCCTGGGGCACACTGAGCCAGCAGGTGGCATGGTGGCACATGCCTGTAATCCTAGCACTGGGGAGACTGAAAACAGGAGGATCACTACAGATTCATTCTGTGTAGTGAGACCCTGTGGACCCCATACTAAATATATTTTTTAAAAAATAGTTGGGAGTATGGCTCAAAGGAATCTGGTATACAAACAATATATATGGACGGTAGCATTTAGCATAGTAACAGTCTTATAAAGCTATCATCTCCATGTAATTCTAATTCCAAAATACACTATATTAAAAAAAAAATACACTATATAAAGAAGCCCCATGTGTCCCCTCCTCAGCCCCAGTCCTCTGAGTCCACGTCCTGTCTCTAGAGTGGCCTGTCCTGAGCATTTCTTGTCCATGGAGCCCACGCTGTGCATCCCCAGTGTCTGACGCGCTCACCCAGCACGGCAGCCTCATGTTCCCTGAGCCAGAGCCCGTCCCCCTTCGACTGCCTTGCACTTCTGTGCCCTCACCCCTTGCCAGTGGTTTTCTTCCCTCTGGAGTGTGACTGGGGCAAGTAGGAGGTTACCATGCTGTCCTCCCCGGCCCCTCTTTCCTGAGCAACACCGGTTCCTACCACTGACCTGGCCTGGAGGGGGCAGGGCTGAAGACCTCTGGTGCTGCCATCCCTCTGCACCCCTTGCCTTGATGTCTTGGGTCCCCACAGCCCCTCCACATGACATGAGGGGAAGCGAACGCTGGGATGTTGCGCCCAAAGAGAAGTCTGGGACTTGAGCCCACCTCTTCCTGTAGAAATCCTCCAGGCATAAGAAGAAACACAAGAAGGAGAAGGCAGAGAGGCCCAAAGATAAGAAGAAGGTTAAGAAGAAGCAGCCAGAGCCCGAGGAGGAAGCGGCAGCTGCCAGGCTGGTGGACAATGGCGCCGCAGAGGAGGAGCCCATCCCGGTGAGCCCCCCAGCCCCTTCCAGCTGTGCTCAGCTGGCCGGCCCGCAGGGTCCTGGAGTTCGCAAGGCTGCTGGATCTCACCCCCGAGCTTGTGCAGTGCCCGGGCCTTGGGCCTTGTCACACAGCTGGTGCGCTATCTTCTCCCTAGCCCATGTCCAGCTACTGCCTCCTCGCAGAAAATTCCTACATCAAAATGGTGAGTGAGACCCACTCTACAGAAGGACCTTGAGGGGCTGGCGGCCACCACAAGGGTTCCCGAGGCTCCTGGACATCATCCCTGGGCGCTGTCACCCCAGCACCACCCAGACCCAGCCGTGCTTCTGGCTGTCTCATCACGGAGGCCCCGCCCTGGGCCCCTCCCTCTCCCACACTGAGCAGGACGGCTGTTAGTGCACTGCTCACTGGCGATGAGCCCCCATCCCAGCCAGTCCCTGGGCTACCCTCACCCCACTGACCCCATGCCCTGCGTGGCACAGACGTACGACATCCAGGCCAGCCTGCAGAAGGACAGCCAGGTCACTGTGTCCGTCATCCTGGAGAACCAGAGCAGCAGCTTCCTCAAGAACATGGAGCTCAACGTGCTGGACTCGCTCAACACTAAGATGGCCCGGCCGGAAGGTTCCTCCGTGCACGATGGGGTCCCTGTGCCTTTTCAGCTGCCCCCAGGTGAGTGCAGGTTCCTTTCTTTTTCTCCATTGTCCCCTTAGTCCTGGGACAACTCTGAGAACACAAACATCAGGCCTCATTGCTGCTCTCTGAGAGGCACAGTGACCTTGGCGTGTTGCAGTCAGGACCCCTGCCAAGGCTCTGAGCATTCTTCATCCAGGATAGTCTCACTGATCAGACAGGGTTGGGACCAGGTCTCAGCCTATCTGTAGGCGTCAGAAGCCTCATGTTCCTGCCCCTGTATCCCTGGCACTGTCTGGGCCTTGAACCCAGCTTCCCATCAGCTACGGGATTTGAAAACTGGCCCTGGAGACAGACCGTGGCGGCCCGGCTGGACATACTGTAGCTCAGGCCCGCGCTTTCTCATGCCGCCAGGTGTCTCCAATGAAGCGCAGTTCGTGTTCACCATCCAGAGCATCGTCATGGCCCAGAAGCTTAAGGGCACCTTGTCCTTCATTGCCAAGGTTCGTGCCATAGAAGCCATAGCCCCGCCAGCGCATGTCCCTTTCACCCTACACCGTGGGTGCTGCGCTTTCCCAGGGGCAGTGAGCGTCTCCCTGGGGGCCTCGTGCTCAGCCACCTCTGCTCCCTCGCAGGACGCCAACGGGGCCACACATGAGAAGCTGGACTTCAGGCTGCACTTCAGCTGCAGCTCCTACCTGGTCACCACACCCTGCTACAGGTAAGTGTGTGACTTCACAGCCCCGGTGGCTGAGTCCAGGGCGGGTCCCAGCTTCCGTGGCTTCCCAGGGTGGCTTCTACTCATGCCCTCACAGGGCTGTCCCTGTGCACATGGGTGTCCTGGCTGCTTAGCAGGGCACCCACTCTTGTAACCTCCTTTTGCCTCGGTGATTTTATTTTTGCCAATACAAGGGATTGAATTTAGGGCCTTTGCACTAAGCTATATGCCCAGCCCTTTTAATTTTTTTATTTTGAAACAGGGTCTTGCTAAGTCACTTAAGATACCCTGGCTGGGCTCAAAACTCACCTTTTGCCTCAGTCTCCCAGATGCTGGGAAAATGGGCCTGTGACAAGTGCCTGGCTCCTCAGCAGCCCTTTTAGAGCCCTAATTCCAAATGCAGTTACATTCTGAGGCCCTGGGATAATGGCTTCAGTGCAGGGTCTTTTGTGAGGACACAGTGTAGTCCATACCATCGCACAAGACTTGGAGACCTTCCAGGCCCCACGTATACAGGATGGGCTCCTCCACCCAAGCTCCCCTGGGGGCCATGTCTGGGTCCCATCTATTGTCACTTCAGTCCTTTGTCCTTCCCACAGCGATGCCTTTGCCAAGCTGCTAGAGTCTGGAGACCTGAGCATGAGCTCCATCAAAGTTGACGGGATCAGTATGTCTTTCCAGAACCTTCTGGCAAAGATCTGTTTTCACCACCATTTTTCTGGTAAGGAGTGTGACACAGTGGGTCCTGCACATAGCATTCATACTCGGGGTCCTCAGCTAGCCTGGCTTGTCTCACAGACCCCACCTGGGCCCAGGCTGCCATCCCTCCATTCTTGGTACTGGGAATTGAACTCAGAACCTTGTGCTTGCTGTGCAGGTGCTTGTGCCACTAAGTTATATCCCCAACCCTTGCCAGGACAGTGGCATGGGAACAGTACACAGGACAAAGAGGCCTGCTTAACTTGGCCCGCAGCCTGGGGCTCAGTGCTGGTTCCCTTGCAGTGGTGGAGCGAGTGGACTCCTGTGCCTCCATGTACAGCCGCTCCGTTCAGGGCCACCACGTCTGCCTGCTGGTGAAGAAGGTTAGGACCTGGGCCCTGCCCCAGGGCTCTGGCTGGGAGGGAGCCAGGCTCACGGCACTGGGCCATTAGGGACACTGGCTTCTTGGTGAGGTGGGTGGCCTGTGTCCACGCTGGGAGGAGAGATGAGCGTAGTGCACTTTGTCACTTGTCTCATCTCAGGGATCACTGGGTGATGGTACCCCAGAAAGCACCTAAGAACGAAAGCCAGAACAGGCCGGAGCCACGGCTCAAGGCAGGGCAGTAAAGACATGCAGAGCCAGTGGAGAGGCTCAGCAGGGACGCGGAGGCGGGAGGCGGGGCAGCCATACCATGATTCCCCACCAGGGCGAGCACTCGGTGTCCGTGGACGGCAAGTGCAATGACTCCACACTGCTGAGCAACCTGCTGGAGGAGATGAAGGTGACGCTGGCCCAGTGCTGAGAGTCACCGAGCCTCGCGGAGGACGCCCCTGTGGGCAGGTGCACAGACATGCAGATGGGCACTCCTGGCCTCTTTGTCCTGTGTACTGTCCCATGTCACAGCATTAATTCCACCGTCGTCCACTGTGCAGACACCCGAGGTCCGTGTTGCTTTGACATATCTTAGTTTGGTTGTCCACCGTCTTTCTGGAGGCCCTGGCCAGCCCCTCAGCAGGGCTCCCCCAGCTCTGCCACAGGGGCCCAAAGGGAGCAGTAAAACCCCCGGGCCGGGACCTGATGGGCACCAGGGTGCTCCGCAGACAGGGCAGGGCTCTTGGAGCCCCTGCTGGCTGCTTTTGCCCCAGCCGTCCTGACCGGTGGCATCTGCAGGAAGGTGATAAGTGACTGTCACTGAGCTGCTGTCCCCTGAGCCTGTGGTGGCATTATCCACTGTCCGTGTGCTTGGGGGCTGTTGGCCCCCAGGTCCAGGATCCGGCCACAGGCTCAGCCATGCAGAGTTGCTGGCAGAGGGCGGGGGCCCTGGTTCTCTCATTCACAGAAGCAGGTCTGTGAGGGCTGGTGGGGGTGTGGGCAGTACTACACGGCTCCCTGCCCCAAGCTCATCATCAGTGCACCACAAGGCTTGTGTCTTTGTGACGTCCAGGTGGGACTGGGAGTGCCATAGGGGAGGACGCAGCTGCTGTGTCCCCTGGCCGGATCCCAAAACGCCATCTCCAGTGCAGCAGCCGCTGGCAGGGTGAGAACCCTTCCAGTCTCTCCAGACTTTCCTCAGAGATGATGCTGTCAATGGCGTTCTACCTGTTCCTTTTGATGACAATTGTCACTTTAGCATGTAGAGTAATCTATTACAGAATCCTGTGCTGTGATTCTAGAACTCTGAAATTGTATGATGTGTTACATAATTATTTGCTATTGACATTCCCGTATAAAGAAAAAAGACATATCACACTGCTGTAATGATTTTTGTGTCAAGATGATCAATAAAGTTGCAGAACAGATGCTTGTGTGTCATTTCTTCTGCCTGTCCCAGGCACCACGCGTGCCCTCCACTGAGCTCAGCACCCAGCTTGGGATCGCAGGGTGCTGAGCGACTGTGGCTCCTGCCCCACCCTGGGGGCACTGTGGCCTGTACTGCCTTTCGTGGGAACCCTGGGCTCCAGGCTCTGAGGGGAGGCACAAGATTAGAGGCTACAAAGGGCCATGGTAGGGGCCCGGGAGATGGCTCAGTAGGATAAGCGCTTGACTGGCAAACGCAAGGATCTGAGTTCAATCCCCAGTTCCGCAAGAAAAAAAAAGGGCCATGGGAGAGTCAGGGACAGTTAGAAAATCATCTTGGGGGCTGGTGAGATGGCTCAGTGGTCTAAAGCACCTACTTAGAACAAACTAAAAGCACAGGGACCGCGGTTCAATCCCCCAGCACCACATGCCAGCCAGCGCCACCCCCTGGTGGGCTGAGCTGGCCACACACACACACACACAAATAAAAAAATTAAAAAAAAAAAATCATCTTGGTTACCAGAAGACAGGCCCACAAGCCTGACATGTGGCCCATATTTATAATACCAGCCTTCACGGGCTGATGCAGGAGGATCACCAAGAGCTCAAAGCCAGCCTCAGCTACATAAACAAGTTCAAGGCCAGTCTGGACGAGTGAGACCCTGTCTCAAAAACAAAGATAGGTCTAGGAAACAAGGGCCAGTTGAACCCATTCTGGAAAACCACACTGGCTGAAAACCACCCAGAGGCCTTTCTGTTCTGACCCCTTCCCTTCTGGTACCCCAGAACTCAGCGTTGGTTGGTAGCAGCACGGATGTGGTGCATCAGTTCTGCTGCTGGTGGAAGCTGAGGGCAGTGCTGGCGTGTGTGGGGCAGTTGCCCTTCCAGGCTGTGGCAGGCAGGGAAGCCCTGAGGAGCCTGCTGCATGTTGGTCTACATAATGCCTACACCTCCCAGGATTCCTGGCAGAAGAGTACCAGATGAAATCTCCCAAGCAACCCCTTAGATGAAATGTTATTTTTCTGGCAGAACCAGGGATTGAACTCAGGCCCTTGTGCTTGCCAGGGAAGTGCTTATTCCACTGAGCCATCTCCCAGGCCCCAGCAAGCAACCCCTTCGTATTGACAGCATCATCTCTGAGGAAAATCTGGAGAGACTGTAAGTGTTCTCAGCCTAAAGACAGCCAGGGAACCACCCAGCTGAGGTCACAGAAAATGAAAGACCAGGCCGGTATGCCAGGCACTCACTTATTCCCCCTCTGCCACTCTGTGGATCTGGGCCACGGCTGATCAATGTTGGTGCCCCTAAGAAAAGATGTTTGGGGCCCAAGTTTACTCTCTTAGCTCAGGCCCATTTTAAGTGACTTGAACACCATATTGAAAGCTGGCCTGGCTTTACCCAACCACAGACCCCTTTCGTGTTAACAAAAAGAATTATTGGCTGGATGTGGTGGCACATGCCTGTCATTGTAGCTATCTGGGAAGCTGAGACAGGAGGATCACAAATTCAAGACCAACTTAATGGTAATGTAATGAGATCCTGTCTCAAGGGTGGCTCAGTGGTGACCCCTGGTTCCATCCCTCTTCTGGCGGCACAAGAACTGTCTGTCCATGAGAAATGTCAGGCATTTTAATTATAAATGACCTGGTGGCCCTACCTGGAGCTAATGCTATACACAAATCCGCACCCTGCCCTGCACCAGCCCAGCTTGGCCCCTCTAGGGGTTGGAGGGGACCCAAGGCAGAGGAAGGCGGGTTCAGGCCAGCTGAGTCCTGGTCCCCAGAGTGGCAGCTCCTGTCAGTGCTGGGTCAGACACTCCGAGGCATTCTCCAAGGTCAAGTTGGCCAGGTGCTGTGGCTCCAGACATGAAATGCTTGGTGCTATCAGGCTGTGGGGCATGCGGTAGGTAGTCTCAGGCCTTCCTCCCCTGGCTGGTCTCTGAAGAGCATCCCTGGGCCTCCTCCCAGCTGGGATGTGTGGTCCTGTGCATAGCTGTGTCCCCGAGAAAGTACCATGTGGGATCCCCTACTGTCCCTCATGACCCAGGTGCCCCGGACGGGTGGGGCATGAAGAGGTCTGCGGCAAAGTGGCCAGTGGCTTGGGATCTCTGGTTTGGTGCTCCCCAACCCAGGGCCATCTGCTTCTCTGTGATGTCCCTCTGGTCACTCACAAGGCTGGGGTGGCTCTGTGTGTCCCAGGCGAGATGATGCAGGAGGAGAAAGAGGGCGTGTTTGCTCATGCGATGACCACACGGGTGTTTCACAGGTGCAGTGGCAGAACGGTGGCCAGCAGTCCCAGGCACACAGAGATCCCATTCCACGGTGTTCACCCTACCCAACACCTGCACCTATCTGCCCCCACTGACCCAGGGGACCCCAAAGCACCCTTTCCCCAACCTCCTACTACCCTCCTCAGAAGGCCAGGCCTTACCTCATTCTGGTGTCCTGTCTGAAAGATACATGGGGTTCAAGTCAGATCCCCAGCTCTGCAGTCCAGGCTGTGTCCCTGGTTCTTAAGCTCTTCCTCTGGGGCATTGACCACATTTCTCTCAACTCAAGATAAACTAGACCCCATTTTTTTTGTCTGGTACTGGAACCCAGGGCCTTCAAGCTGAGCTACATCTCCAGCCCTTTTTTTAAAGACAGGCTCTCGGGCTGGGGAGATGGCTCAGTGGTCTAAAGCACCTACTTGGAACAAGCTTAGCAAAGCACAGGGACCACGGTTCAATCCCCCAGCACCACATGCCAGCCAGCCCCGCCCCCCTGGTGGGCTGAGCTGGCCCCCACGCGCACACACACACACACACACACACTAAATAAATAAATAAATAAATAAATAAATAAATAAATAAATGTAAAAAAAAAAATTTAAAGACAGGCTCTCACGAAGTTGATAAAGTGCTCAGACTGGGCTTGAACATGTGAGGCACCTGCCTTAGCCTCCTAGACTGCTGGGATGACAGGCAGCCTGCTTGGGTAGACTAGACTTTCTGGGGACACACTAGCTAGATGCTGTCCCCCTCCAGCTGGGCTCAGAGCCCCTGAAGGAAGGGACTGGCACCTGCCTCCTCTACTTGGACAGGATAAGGTCCTGCCCCTCCACTGTACCTCTGCAGGCCCTGGGACCGCCTCCAACACCACAGACCCCTGAGGTACTCACACACAGACACACTGCCCCTGACAAAACTTTTGTTGGATTGGAAGGTGGGGACTTACTTGTGCCAATTAGATCTGCAATGATAGCAGGTTTGAAGTCAGGACAAAGAGGCCTCAGTCAGTGTCCCCTTGTGTGACTGCCCAAAGACCCCCAACTCACATGTAAACAAGAAGGCCCCGCACAGCATTCTCCCACTGTGCCGAGGACCTATGAGGACAGAGGGTTGCAGGTGGCAATGCCCACTGGGCCAGGCCCCACCCTGCCCAGCACTGAACCCAGAGCCTGCAGTGCAGGCAGGGCTGGTGCCCGAGCCCTACTCGCAGTTGTAGCCAAAGCAGACGACGTGCGAGTTAGAACAGTTGTGACAGGAGATGGTCTCATACTGGAAGATCCCTGCAAAACATCAGAGTCAGCAGCAGGCTCCCTGGGGCCTCTGGGCTAGGCCACCACTGCTTACTCTGCCCCTCAGCCTGGACCACATCTCACTCACCACAGTGACGCTGACAGTCGATTCGGCCTGTGGGGCACAGGATAAACATTTTTTGTTTTTTCAAAATATTGACTGAACCCAGGGCGCCTTTGCACTGAGCTATATCCCCAAAATATAGTTTTTGAGTCAAGAAATTGCTGGGGCTGGCACGATAGCTCAGTGGACAGTAACTGCTTAGGAAAGTGCAGGGACTTGAGTTCAATCCCTGGCACCACATGCTATCTCAGCCCCGCCCCAGGCACACTGAGCTGGCCCCTAAGACCAGGTGTGGTGGTGCACGCCTATCATCCCAAAGATAGGGAGGCTGAACACAGGAGAATCACTGAGCTGTGCAGTGAGGCCCTGTACCAAGTACACTAAAAAAAAGAGAGAGGGGCCGGGGACATAGCTCAGAGGAATAAGTGCTTCCCTGGAAAATGCCAGGGCCTGAGTTCAATCCCCGGTTCTGCCAAAATAAATAAATAAATAAATAAATAAATAAATAAATAAATAAAATAAAACAAAAAGAGAAAAAAATTGCTAAGACACTAATTTTTTCAGGATGGGCCCTAATAGGTGATCTTTCTGCCACAGCCTCCTAGAATGTTGGGGCGACAGGTGTCCACCATGCCCAACTAAGGATGGCATCTTTTGTTTTGGTCATTTGGAGTCAGGGTTTCACTATGCAGTTCGTGTGTGTGTGTGTGTGTGTGTGTGTGTGCGCGCGTGCACGCTGGGAATTGAACTCAGGATTTTATGCTTGCTAGCCAGGTGCTGTGCCACTGGGCTATATCCTGGGCCCTCACTCTACAGTTCCAACCTTGAACTCACTTTGTATCCTACATGGCCCTTAAACTAACAGTGACCCTCCTGCCTCAGCCTCCCCAGTGCTGGGATGACAGGAATACACCACCATACCTGGCTACATGACACCTATTTACCAGACCCAGACTCAGCCCTGGCTTTGCCCAGTCTCAGGGTCTGTCCCTCAGCTACATGGGGAATGGGTACACTGTGAATTGGGTTTCACAGTCCAAAGGGAAAGGGGTCCCCAAGATGGACTCCAGAGTGGAGGAGGGGAGTTGTAACACCCCCAGGCCCTGTAGGGGATTCGTTTGGCAGGTGCCAGGGAGATTTTGGCATCTGTCCTTTCCCCCTCTGCCCAAGGAGGGCGGCTCCCAGCTCTGAGTCCTGGTCCCTACCATCACCCTACTCTGTGGCTCCTGACACCCTCAACTGGCGCTGGACAGCATCCCCTCTTCAGCTCACTTTTGATGATGGCGTTCTGGATGAGTTGCACCTGCTCGCGGAAGATGGCTCGCAGCTCATTAGGGAAATACCCTGATGCCAAAGGCAGGAGGAGGAGATCAGACAGGTACGACAAAGGTGGGCAAGGTAGGCGGTCCCTGCCTCAGCGTCCCGCACCTTACCAGGGAAGTACATCTTTCCCTGGTACAGCTGATCCATTTTGAGGTACACAGTTCTCGCCACCTGGTCCAGATTCTCCCGGGCTGCGGGTGGGAGGGGCAGGAGGAGGCCGGTGAGGCGCCCCGCTAGGCCCGGGTCCGGTAGGACCGTGGGGCCTCCCCACTTGGGGTTCCACTCTCACTGATTTCCGCCGGGATGGCCAAATGTAGCTCCCTCATTGTGTCCTGGCTCCAATCGGTGAGCAGAGCCCCCGACACGGGGATGTCACCCACCCACCAAGACTTGAGGTTCACGTGGTGGCGGTAGAAGGAGAACTTCTCAGAGAAATTATTATGGCAATGAAGGCAGCCACGGGCGAGCGTGGCAGTCAGCCCCAGGCACAGCAGTAGCGCCATGGCCCACCCTCGCCTGCCGACAGACAACCAACGGTGGCTGCCCGCGCCACACCCCTCCGTCCCCACCAACTAACGGCGTCGCCTCGGGCCCAGGGCTTTGCCCTTGTCTTGCCGGGCAAATCTAACCAGGCCGCGGTCTCTAAGGGCAACCGACGACGCCACCTCAGCCCTGAGGTTCCGCCCACGAGGTGTCACTCACAGAGAAGGCTCCACCCCCATTTTGTTCCACTTCCGATATCACTTCACGCATGCGCCAACAAGGAGCGCCAGCTCCGCCTTCTGGGTCGGCCCCGCCTATCTACACACAAAGTAACAAGCTCTGCCTACCTGTCTCCACCAACTAATAGGAAGTCAGCAAATTAGGTGGTTGCTAGGCAACGAGAGGGCGGCCTAGCGGGCCCGGCCCTCGCTCTGGACCAGCACCTCCAGCGCCCCGCTTTTATTCGGATACGGATCCTTTAAGGAAAGTAGGCCCGGCGCGCGGGTGCGGCCGAGGCGTGGCCTTTGCAGAGTCCCTCCGCGAACGGCGGCTGGCGCGGGCATCCTGAGACCTAGGCGAAGGCGGCGAGCGGCGTGAGGTGACAAGGTGGGTGGCGGGAAGATGAAGGCGGGCAGCGGGTGTGATCCCGGGACCCGTGCAGGTCGGGCCTTCCTCAGCATCTCTCGGAGCTAGGGCCACAGATCCGGCATCCCGCATGCTCGCTGTGGGGCCTCTTACCCTGGCCCTAGAGCTTGAGTTTGTTTAATAGTTCGTTGAAGAGAGCCGGCCGTGGTGGCGCACGCTTGTAATCACAGCACTTAGGAGGCTGAGAAGGCTGAGGCAGGAAGTTGATTGTGAGTTCGCGACCAGCCTGGGCACAAAGTGGGCTAAAGGTCAGCCTGAACTGAATAGCGGAGATCTTGTCTTTAAAAAAAGGAAAAAGAGGCAGAGGAGATCACAAACAAAACAGATCCCAGAGAAAGCCCATGTAAATTTTTCTTTTCAGTTTATTAGACAGGGTCTTGTGTAGTTTAGGCTGGCCTGGAACTCACTGTGCGGCCCAGGATGGCCTCGAACTCATGGCGATCCAACTGCGTCAGCCTCCCCAGTGCGCCACACCCCTACCTGACAATTTTTTTATTTTTTTATTTTGAGGCAGTGTCTCTCTGAGTTGCCAAGTTGCCCTGGATGGGCTGGAACTTGTGGTCCTCCTGCCTCAGCCTCCCAAGTGCTGGGATGTCATGAGTCTGCCACAGAGATCTGCTGACCTTTGCTTGTTTGGGAGGTGGGCAGTGTCCAGCCCAGTAGAGGTCTTGGTACCCCCGCTCTGCAGAAGAGCAGTTGCATGAGGCCCCCAGAACTGGAACCCCATCCTCTCCACTCCCATCGCGTTCAGCAAGGTTTTAACCTGTGAGACGAGACTCTTTCCCCTCTTGCTCAGGGAGATTCACTGTCCTTTCAGGCTAGCTTTTTTTTTTTTTTTTTTTCCTTCTTCTTTTCACCACGCGATTTGCCAGATGCTTGTGTTTTGGGGTTTCTGAAGCAGCACAGGAGATTTGGGGAAAGGGGAACTATATCAGAGAGAAGAAGGCGGGAGACCTGGGCGGGTGAGGTGCTGGGGACCGGGGAGCTTGTTTGCACCCGCCTGGCTCAGTCGGTTATTAGAACTCATTGACCAGTTGGCTGAGCATGGTGAGCTCTGGACAGCTCCAGCGAGTCCCGCAAGTCCCTGTCCCTGCTCCCCAGGGTCCTTCCCTGGAGCCAAATCACACCCACCTCCAGCTACACCTGCACCTCAGCATCTTTCTCCCTCTTTTTGGTACTGGGGATTATTAACCCATGGGCATGAGCAACATCCCCAACCTTTTTTTATTTGGGGACAGGGTCTCAGGAATTTGCCTTGGATGAAATGGAACTTGTAATCCTCCTGCCCCGGCCTCCCTGAGGACTGAGTTCTAAACTCTCCCCCTTCATGAAAAACAAAAGCTGGATTTTTTTTCATTGTGTTATTTTGTGCATCTGTGTATTTGATGCTAGAAATCTAAAGCAGGGAAGAACATTATGCTAGACTCTCAGAAGGGTTTTCTTTGTTTTTTTGTGGGGTGTGTGTGTGTGCGATTGAATTTAGGACCTTGTGCTTGCCAGCCAGGCAAGGCCATCTCCCCCGGCCCTGTCTGTAGGTTTTTAAAACCACTATTTCAGTTTCTGAACTTGGGCACGTTTTCATATTTTAATAACGTGCACTGGTCTGTGTCATGTGTAAAAAGTCCCTGGCCCCAGAGCCTCTGAAAATTCTGCTTTCTGTTCCCTGTGAAGAGCAGTCCCATGTAAACCGGTGCAGAATTCCCCAAGGCCGGCCCCCTTGTTGTGGGAAGTTCTGGGCTTTCCCCACTGGTGGGCGTGGCTCCCGCTTTCCTGGAATTCAGGGGTTCAGATGCTTTAACCAGAAAAGGCAAGTCCCACTTAAGGCAGAGGGCTGCACTCCAAGCCCTAAAGAGGATGTGCTTCCGCTTTCTCAGGGCCACCACACCCTGCCTCCTCCGCTTCCTTTTTCTCTTTTGCAGCCCCAGGGCCAGGGCACCGGACAGAGCTGCACACCAACCCCTATTCTTCTTTGGATTTTCACAGAATGACTTTTTCTTCTCTGCTCAGACCAGGAAACTAAACGTCTGTTTATTATAAAGATCCCTTCCCACCCACCCCCCCCCAAAAAAAAGATTCCCAAATTAGCCAGGGGTTGGATGGTACATGCCTGTAATCCCAGCACCCCAGAGGCTGAGACAGGAGGATTACAAATTGTAGGCCAGCCTGGGCAATGTACCAAGACCTTGGCTTAGAATAAATAAGGGCTGAAACGTAGCTCCCTTAGAAGCCCCTTGCTTCATCCCCAGTAAATCTTACGCCACCAAAACACTCCTGATATCCACAGGAGTTTTTTTT